CACAACCGTGCCTCTCGCGAAAGCAAAACCGGGACTCTCGCGAAAGAAAAAAAACAGAAAACACTTTTTTTTCATTTCCGAGAGGCACGGCTGTGACTCTCGCTAAAGCACAACCGTGCCTCTCGCGGAAGAAAAACCGTGACTTTCACGAAAGAAAAAAAAAGAAAACGCGTTTTTTCGTGAAAAAAAATCGATTTTTTTATCGAAAAGCTAAGAAAGACCGGGGAGAAACCAAAACATCGAAAAACCCCGGAAAAAACCGTTTAAAAAGCCGAAAACGCGTGCGATTTTTTTAAAAAAAAAAACAAAATTCGAAGGAAGCGTCCAGAGCGCGACACGTGGCGAATGGCTGAGAGCGCGCCAAGTGACGCTGATCGTTGCAAGGCTCCCGAAGGAGCGCTTGTTAACTAGTTGCTCCCCTTAAAAGCGCATGTATATCAAAAACTCAAAATCACACTTACAAGTACATTTCCTGTGCTTGTCTAAAAAAGAAGTACATTTCCTGTGCTGAGAAAACTTACGGGATCATGCTCTCAAAAAAAAAACTTACAGGATCATTTCATTTTTCTTCAAAGCAACAACGAGAAAACTTCTGTAGAGGTTTGGCCTAATGACATAACTTTCACTTTTACTTACTGATTCGTGTTTTCTTCGGTCTACTTATTATTGTACCAAATATTACACTTTTTTATCAATATAATTAGCCATTCTATAAAAAACTACTCCTAATACACATGCATTTCTTATGCTGAAGAAAAGTTAAACATGCATTTCCTGTTTCTAGTGAGTTTTTTAATGCAAAAAACACCTATCAACGCACATAATTCTGGTAAGCACAGATTAAACCATAAAGCTTTGGCATTAACAGGCACTTACCCAACTAATAACGAGCACAAAATGGCATTAACAGGCACTTACTACAACTGATAACAAGGACAAAATTTCAACCAAACCAAAGAACAGACAAAAAAAATACATTACACCTGAAGAATAAAGCTAACATACTACACATCTCAAGAAAGAAAACACAAATTCGTCAGTAACTCATTCATCATCTAAAGAAGCAAAGAGAACGCCACGTCACGCGGCCAGGTCAGCTGCAAGTCCAGGAGGCTTCAGAATGCATCTTCGTCACCGTCGTCGCAGGGCACGGTGCACTGGATCACGACGCGAGCTCCCGACGACAACCTGCGCACACAATCCACAACAAAAACCTCAATACCATCATCGCATATCGTGCGGGATATTCGATATGTTGCAAAGGGAATATTTCAAAGCATCGAGTGCATACCCAGTGCAGTGACAAAAAGTTGGAGCACTTAACTTTCCTCGATCTTGACGAGCTTCTCCTTGTTCTCCTTCCTGAAGGACTCTACCCTCGACGACGCGTCGGTGAACCGCCTGCTCCCGCCGTCTATCGAGTCCGGCCCGGCCGAGGAGCTCCTCCGGCAGTCCGACACCGGGGACTTCTGCATCTCACTCTTCGGGTGCAGCAAGGATGACAGTATCGGCGTCCGGGGCAGGCACCTCGAGCGCGGTACCATCTCTTCTTCGTCGGGCCCCGCGCAGTCGCAGAGGTTCTCGCCGCCCCTGTGAGATCATTCATGGTCAAGAACACCACCACATGAATGAATTAACTGAAAACCGATGAAACTCGCATGGTAAGCAAGTAAGGTCCCAGGCAAATGACAAGGAAAAGTTACTGCCTCTGAACTGAAACAACTGTTGTGCCAACGACCAAATCTCCTGCTAACAAAATTCAGACGTATCTTACCTAAATCTTTTGGATTCTAATAGGGTGAAACAGAAAATGGTCCAGCCGGGATCGGGATCGGCGCATGAACTGCGCTGGCATTTGCAGTACAGTTCACGGATCTGTCCGTCTATAACAGTGACAATTCTTCTAGGATAGCAACAAACACTGTTGATCAGTATGAAGCAATAGGATACCTGCTACTCCTACATTTTCAGTTGAGCAACTGAAGAATCTCGCCAGCCAGCTATGTAGTGTGGTCCTCTACACTATATCTGACATATGCTCGTGTTGTGGCTGGCAATGAACAAGTGAAGTTACTGCCACAGAATTAAAGCTGTAGAATTGGAGTAGTGACAAAAAGGAGTAACAGGAGGCTGCCCTGTTGGGGGGCAAAATCTTCACACGAAAATTGTCACCCTTTACTTTCAGTAACTCCTGCTTGCACCAATCTTCACGTTCTTTATCTACTACTAACTAACCGTAATTTGTAGCACAGGGCAAACTATGTATGGTACTGTCCAAAACAAAACTACCAAGGCGAAACGGGCAAAAGTAAAATTTCCGCTCTCTTAGTAGGCGCATCTACCAATTTTGCAATGTCCTGACCTCAGTTTTTCCAGTAGATTCCCTGTACTTTGTTACTCCCTCCGTAAACTAATATAAAAGCGTTTAGAATACCAAAATAGTGATCTAAACGCTCTTATATTAGTTTACAGAGGGAGTATTTTGTTTGCTACATGGATGCCAGCTGCACCATGGCAACACAGGACATGATCGTCTAGTGCCGTTGGCACCGAGCTAACTGCAAAATGGCCTCATCTAGAGTCTGGGCATCACTAAATGACGGAAAAGCAATGGTCCTTGAATTCATAAAATCTATATGGTACGTGGCTCTTTTCCTATCTCTAAATTCTCCGAGCCCAGCCTAAGCCCCCACCCCTTTCTATGCGCAACTCAATGCTCTTAAATGAGCAATCACTGCAAAAGTTCAGCTTCAATATCCATATTTCAAACGCTAACATCTCATGACCACAAAGTACAGATGATTTTGCAAAATGAAGCACCCAATCAATCAAATCTAAGTTGGCATGCTAAAAACACCAAGGTAAAGTATGAAGCTGTCAAGTATTTTCTGAGACAGCAAAACCGCTACAGAATTAGCCAGAAATTTTGAATGGCCACTGAACCTAATGTGCTGTTTTCTCAACCAGTGCCATAGCCCAAGTAACACAAATAGCCTTAAATTATCTGAGCACAGAAGGGAAAAATTATAAATTCTAAGTTATTTAAGCACAACCGAAATGTAATGTGGAAGCACTGGAAATTTTACCTTTCTGCATTGTAGGAAGAAGACCGCTTAAGCACCGAGTGCCTCTCGGTGGGAACGTCTCTCTGCGTCTTGGTCTCAATAATGCTCCCACTAAAATACTCCTTATCTTCAATCCGTGTCCCAATGAATCTGGGGTTCTCTGATAGGTAATCGAGCTCACCCATCATCATGGAGCGAGAAATCAGCGGCGATGGGAACTTCAAGTTTGGGAACCTTGGCTTGTAAGCCCCAACAAGCCCAATGTTGTCATGATCCTTGACTGAAAGTGAATCACAGGTGATGAGCTGCATCAGCACATTCGCCGGCCTCAGCTTCGGGCAGGTCGGCACGACAATGTCGTCCTCTTCCAGGATCCTGAAGCTGTTGGCTGACGCGTTGTCGGCTCGTATCAACGACTCCAAGCTCTCGGACTTTCCATGGGTTGAAGCCATGCTCAGTGGGGTGGCACAGTGGGACATGACATCCCTGGAGATCCCCTGGAGCTCGGCCGACCGGCGAGGATGGCTCTGCTGCCGGTACTCGGTGACCTCACGGACGTCATGATCAGTGCTCAGGCTCTTCTTATGCATCTCAGGTACTCTCCGAGCCGACCTTCTCCCGAGATCATCGGTTTGAGTTGCGGCATCCATCAAACCGGTGGGCTTGAAAACCCTGAATTCTGCCGGCGTCGGCCGTGACATGACAGTCCTCTGAGGCTCCGATTCCGGCGACATTGTCTCCGAGGAGGTGCCCCGGCACGGCGAGGGGGAGTCGTCCTCCTCTCGCGAAGGCACCGAAGGCACGCGCCGAGGCTTGGCTTCTCTAACTGTCACACTAGGTGGGGAGGAGGAGAAGGAGGCCTCCCTTGACCGAGGCAACCTTGTACTACCCTCTTTCTGCCTGCTCTGCTGCTTCTGGTTGCCATTACTGCCATGGTGAAATTGACCTGCATATTTAAACAAACGGGCAAAAGATGGTATGGCAACACCAATCAGCACTCAAGTTCCCAGGCAATGTTCACAAGAGCAAATGGCAGCTCGAAGGGAACCAAAAAAATTACCTGAAGAAGGTTGGTCCAGGATCTCGGAGCCCTTGATCACGTACTCGCCGTCGGTGGCAGGGAGGACGAGGTCGTCCTCGGCGAGATCATGCCACACGAATCCGTTCTTGTAGCTCCTGTTCAAAAATTCAGAAAACTTTTTGTCAAGCTCGCCAAAGTTCAGACAACTCATGGAGTGCATGGAGTTCAGAAAATTCAGAGAATTTCGCTTGGTTGCTTGGTTGGTTTACCTCTTGCAGGACCAGGAGTACATGGAGGCCATGCCCTTGCCGCGCACCATGTTGAGGTGCCGAATCACATCTGCGCACCAAAGCAATCAAGCAAGCAATCAATCAAGCAATCGCCATTACACAAGTTGCAGTACAAGCAGACTGATTGCGCTCCACGCGGGGGCCATGTGGCGGCGTCCGTCCGTGCACTGACCTCTGAGGTAGAGCCCCTCGGAGGAGGAGGGCGCCGGCACCTCGACGAAGTGCGGGTGCTCGAGGTGGCGGCTCCGCGTGAGGTAGTACACCACCGGCACCTTCCTCGCCGGCGGCCTCTGCCGCTCCGGGCTCCGCGGCCGCCTCCCCCGGCCCTCCATCCCCCCCGGCGAGACCGAAGCACCTCTCCCCCACCCTCGGCAATGGCAGACTGCCAAAATGTACACCTGCAAGATCGCGGAGCCAGCGTCAATTCGCCTGGCTGGCTCGAAATCAGCGCCGGAGGGGACTAGCAGAGCATCCAAAGAAAAAGGTGTTTGGACTCTTGCGGCTGTTCCGTCCATCCATCCATCGGGCGGCACAAAATACAAGATCATGGCCAGAATTGGCTCGCCGGGTGCCACCAAAATCTGGTAGCTTCCCGGCGAGCAAGAAAACAGCGGGGCGGGGTTACCTCCGAGACGGCGGAAGCTTTCGAGAATGGAGGAATCACCCGGCGCGCGCCTCCAGAACCTGCATTTTTATTTTCCTTGGAGCAATCAGAGGAGAGCAGAGAGGGAATTCTGCTACTCCAAGAAGAAATCGCTGGTGCTAGGTAGGCGCTGGATAGAGGTACCTGAAGGGCTGAACCTGAAGGCTCCAGCCAAAATTCAATCCCGCTTGCCGCACAGGAGGTGGGCGACTGAAGTGGAGACGGCTGCGGCGCAGGAGCTTTTATTGGAGCCGCGGTTGCGGAGGACAGCAAGGGCCAAGCAAACGAGGGGGAAGCGTGGCTGGATGAGAGAGGAGAGAGATGGGGAGGAGGAGGAGGAGGAGGAGTAGGGGGGATAACAATAAGAGGGTGGCTCCAAGATTGAAACTTTTTGGACAGGGTGCGGGTGAGAGGGCGTGGGCGGGCAGGGGAACACGAGGACAAGCAGATGGCTCCAAGCCCGGGGAAAAGCTCCCAGCGGGACGGAAGCAGAGCAGATCGAGCACGCACGAGAAGGGCAACAGCGGGAGCGAGACGGAGGGGGAATCTCTGAGCGAGAGCTGCCGAGGAAGGAAGGGAGGGCATTAATGGCGGGCATGGAGCTGCATTGCGAACTTTTATCGAGCAGGGGATGGGCGAGGGCTCAGAGAGAACTTTTTTGCGCAGGACAGGCGAGTAACTGCTGCGGGGGGAGAGCCGGAGAGGCGGGGAAGGGAAGGTCGCCGTCCTCGGCGGGCAGGCAGCAGGGCTACGTGCGGTGCAGTGCAGCGCGCGTCAGGGCAGAGCAGGGAGCATGGACCATGGAGAGGGACGGGACGAGCGCGAGGTCAAACGGCACGGCCGGGCAGAGGGAGGAGTGCACTACTGTTGAACTGAGCTGGTGGGTGAGACGGCGGTGGACGGACGGACGGACGGCGAGCGGTTGTGGCGGGTGAGTGACGAGGGAGGGGGCGCGTGACGTACGAGGCGCGCTTTTGGCGGAGTGGGTGGCAATGGCGGGCATTTAATGCGTGTCGTCGGGGAGGCCATTGGTGGCGCCGGTGCGGTGGTGATTGGCGAGATCGAGGTCGGCAGGTGCACGAGCCCACGGTGTTCCTTTGGCCGGTGATCGTTTCGGAATTTTGCAGAGATTTTGCAGGGCTATTTCCTTGTGGAAACTTTTCCTCCTGGGGGGTTCTCTCCCTTGCACGCGGTGATTCAGTGATGAAAAGCAATCCATTGATCCACGTTTGGAGAATATAAACAATCCTTTGCCTACTCGAGTCCATGTGCTCTCCACCGCACGTTGACCACCTAACGTTAGGCGAATCCAAACGGTTTTTTTGGGACATGATTGACTTTTTTTTCTCAGTTTTTTTCGAGAAGAAAGGGAGGTTTCATTACAATGCAATAGGGTTGCATTCACTCGTGCAATACTCAGTACAATACATGGAGGATCTCTGTTCATCCATACAGTCATGCAATACTCATTACAACTGTAAACAGCCAAATGATCTACTGCCGTAATTTGATCTCTCCAAATTTTCCGTGGAACATAGCAGTGTTATTCTTGAATGGACTAGTGGTTGTATCCCTCTGGGATCGTCCCCATCCTTGGAGCTATGTGTGGCGACACCCGCACCCCAACCAGATGGAGTGCTCCTCATGGCCGCCACACCTCTATTGCCTCCTCTTGCCTCATCTACTGCCGTAATTTGATCACGGAAGAATGCTGCCTGGCTGAAAGATTTCTCACTATGCATGTGTGCTCGGGCAAGCCAGCACACACTCATTGATCACCGGGTCCTCCTCATCGGTTACCAAATCATCGAATTCTTCCTCTCCCGTGTCAAGTTACTCCAGGAGGTCAAAACCCTAGCTGCCGCCGCCGCCTAAGGGAGACATCGTACGTGTGCATGTGCATGTACTACTAGTGATGATTGCCTCAGTAAACCTAATCCATTTCACAGAGAAGGCAATACGTACAATATCGAGTGTAACCGTAACACTGGACATTTCATCAGTTTTAGGGTAGGCGTCTGTCAGTTTCCCCCACTCGAGCAGAGCGGTGGACCAATCTGATGCGCTCTAGTGCTGCTACTAGTCCGTGTAGAGAGGTCCGAGAGCGGAAAAGCATTTAGCGCATAGAGAAAAGTACCCATCTTTTTTACGGTGGTAGCCTCGAGTGTGTACTTGGAGCGCCTTTTTTCAATAAATAAATAGTCCTCCCACTGAGTCAATGCTAGGAGGGTCGTATGCCAATGCCTAGGATTGTCTGCGGGTGGAGGACACCCCGTATGAGCCCCATACGTCTATTTTTTAGGCTGGTTGTAATGATAGTATCATAGCTAGTATCACGCATGCCAACTAGGCAATTTTGATGAGGTGTCATAGCATTAAATGAATAAAAAAATGGTGTAGTATCATATCATGATACCGTATCATAATAAATGATATGCTACTTTGTGTCATGCATGACAATAAATAGAGTACTACATGATACTAATATACGATACTATACATTAGGGAGGTAGTATCATACACTAGTATCATATGCATTATACTAGTATATGATACTTCCCATTACAACCAGCCTTAGTAGGCATTGAATAAAAAAAGGCTCATGTCATTGCCTCCTAGTAGTAGTATCAGGGCATCTCCAGCCGCGCCTCCACGAAGGCCTCCCAGACGGTTTTTTTGCGTCGGCATCGAAAAAACGGCCCAGTCGCGCCCTCATGAGCCCGATTTTCGCCGGCCTGGGCCGAAAACAGCGCAGGCGGACCCAGGCCGAACCCGGCGCGCTCGGAGGCGCCGAGGCGAACTGTTTTGGCGCGAAAAAGTCACGGGCCAACCGCGTCAGGGACACGGCGGCTCGTCTTCCCCCAACTGCCTCGGTTCCCGTGGGGAATCAATGGCAAGGCTGCCGCCGGTCAGCCTTGCCGTTGATTTCTCACGGGCGGCGCGTCACGGGACGGCGCGCCGACGCCTCCCCTCCCTCGCACGCGTACACACGGGCGCGGAGCGGCTATAAAAGCCGGCGGTCGCCTGTGCCCACACCAGACTCGCCCCTCGCCGCCGCCCAGCCCCTCTCTCTCCGTCTCCGTCTTCCTCTCCCGAGCGCCACCGGCAGCCCCTCTCGCTCCCTCTCTACCACCGCCGAGCCCGTCGCCATGGCAGAGCGCTTCCCCAGAGATGAGGCGGCGGTGAATGGCTTCGGCCGCCGTTCGCTCCGCGAACAGGAATCCTGGCTCATGTTCCAGGCGAACATCCCGCGCGCCGCCGGACATGCGCGTCGGGCCGACGGGGTGGCGGCTCAGCGACGGGGGAGTGCCCGTTCCCCCGTTACCCAACGCCGTGGCGAAGCCCAGGTACTTCGCCGAGGAGGTCGAGGTCGCGCGCGCCTCCTTGACCGACGACGAGCGCTCCCTCCCCTAGTACACCGCCGGCAATCACGCGGCTTGGGCGGCGTACTTCCAGCGCCGCCAGCAGCAGCGCCTGGCCTCCACCAACGGCGCGCCGGGGGTCGGCGGCGTGAAGAACAGCGAGGGGCGCCGCCTGTGGTGGGGCGTCCCCGGCCGCACGCTGGATGGCATGCTGGCGTATCTCGACGGCGGCAACAACCCGCCGTTGACCTATCCTGCGACGGGGATGGGCGCCAAGGAGGTTCGCCTCCTCCTCGTCTTCCTCCTCTCGCTCATCTTCCCACTCCTCCGGTTCTCCGGCGCTTCTCGGCGTCAAGGCATAGCCCGCGGCGGAGACGCCAATCGGTCGGCGCACTAGCAGCGTCGGCATCGTCATCAACGAGGGCGGCCGGCGCGCCTCCTCCTCGTCGGCTCCTCCGCGTTTCGTCAAGCCAAAGATGGAGCCGGGGTGGCGCCGGTGAAGGCGGAGTTCGACGACGACGACGCGGCCCTAGAATGGGCGTGCCAGGACTCCATTGCGATGGAGAAGGCACGCCGGAAGAAGGAGAAGGAGCGCCAGCGTGCCGCCCTACGCCGCTTCGAGGAGCGCCGACGCGGCCGCGATGAAGACGGGGTCGTCGTCTTATGCAACAGCGACCACGACGACGACGCGCCGCCGCCAGTTCGCCATGGCGACGCCGGGCAGGGGTCCAGCAGGGGCGCCTGCGTCAAGGAGGAGAAGGCCGACGACGACGATGGCGGCGACGACTTCAGCCCCTTTCTTTTTTAGATTAGGTTAATGTAATGAAAATGCGCGAATTTCATCGAAATTTGTCATGTTTGGCCGAAATTTAACTAGTTTTTATCATAACTTCGCCGAACGGTCCTTCTTTTTTTATTTTAATACGCGCCTGGGGACGGCCCTAGGGGCCGACGGCTGGGGACCGACTCGCCCCCAGGGCCATTTTTTGCGCCGGCTCACCCCCAGGCGGCGCTTTTAGACGCCCCCTGGGGGGCCAACGGCTGGAGATGCCCTCATCTTTCCACATCAGTCCTGGAGGCTCATTTGCGTGTGACACTGTCGTGTCGTGTGGGGAACTTCTCGTCAGCCGTATGTCTTTTTTCTCGAGAAACTTTTAATCTATTCATCTTCGATCATGGCAATATAACGAACGCCAGAAATAATAAAAATTCATACTAGTACAGTGTTGTTTGTAGTTTAGCTCGTGGCGCCACGCTGCCGGGCGCTGGCAATTGCTAAGCCTAAACAAAGCTAGCGCGCGTCCATTTTGTTCAGTCAAGCAGGCTGAAGCTGCTGTTGAGGATTTGGTTGTTGGGTGTGTGATTGGGGTGCTTTTGCAGAGTTTGTCTTCCGCTCTAGAGATTAGGGCGGCCATAGCTGGTAGCAGCTTCGGGAATGTTTTACGTTATTTTGTCACATGCAATGCTCTCCTTAGAAATAGAAATAGAAATAGAAATAGAAATATAATAGCTCGGAACGAATTTGGCTTTACCTATAAAGCGGGGCGAAAGCATATTTACTTACCCGTCCCGCTGTCCACACAACGGATGACAATGAGCATCTTGGGAAACTTTGATCCGCAATCAAGTTCTTGTGGTGAAGATTTGATCAAGTGTTCAACCTATAAAGGTACTCCCTCCGGTCCTTTTTTGCTCTGCATATTAGAATTTTCTGAAGTCAAACTTCACAAAGTTTGACCGTATTTATATGAAAAATATATCAATATCTGCCATGCTAAAGTTATATAATATGAAATTTTAAGTCATGACACATCTATTGATATTGATTTCAGGTTGCGAATGTTGGTACTTTTTTTTTATAAAATTGGTCAAACTTTACGAGGCTTGACTTGAGTCAAATCTTATATGCAAACTAAAAAGAACCAGAGGGAGTACAACAGCCAGCCAAAATCATTGATCTTGTTTTTTCACCCTTGATTATCATATGGTCATCATCCCTGGATCCGGTGGCGTTTCTATGTGTAAGCCGTGGGGTCAGTTGACTCCATAACTTTTGAGAAAAATAACCTAAGAACACCATACACTTATTGTATATTGTGAAGATTTATTTTTCAAAAAAATTAGCGATGGCCCAATTGAATTTTTTGGGGTGGCTTCGCCACTGCCTGGATCAGAGAGGTCATTTTCTTTTTGCGATGAGGATCAGAGAGGTCATTGGAGAGC